ATTACTGCGGTCCAGCCATCATCGGCCACGTGTTCTATGTTAGCGTCTGCACCTAATAACGCTGTGACCGTATCCGCATGACCGTTACCAGCCGCTACCATTACTGCGGTGTAGCCATCATCGGCCACGTGTTCTATGTTAGCGTCTGCACCTAATAACGCTGTGACCGTATCCGCATAACCGTGAAAAGCCGCTACTATTACTGCGGTCCAGCCATGCACGTTCGCGTGTTCTATGTTAGCGCCCGCACCTACCAACGCTGTGAGCGTATCCGTATGACCGTAACCAGCTGCTGCTATTACTGCGGTCCTGCCCTCATCGGTCGCGTGTTCTATGTTAGCGTCTGCACCTACCAACGCTGTGACCGTATCCGTATGACCTTTACCAGCTGCTACTACTACTGCTGTCCAGCCATCATCGGTCGCGTGTTCTATGTTAGCGCCCGCACCTAACAACGCTGTGACCGTATCCGTATGACCGTTCCAAGCTGCTACTACTACTGCTGTCCAGCCATCATCGGCCGCGTGTTCTATGTTAGCGCCTGCACCTAATAACGCTGTGATCGTATCCGTATGACCGTTACCAGCTGCTGCTATTACTGCGGTGTTGCCATTCACGTCCGCGTGTTCTATGTTAGCGCCTGCACCTAATAACGCTGTGATCGTATCCGTATGACCGTTACCAGCTGCTGCTATTACTGCGGTGTGGCAATTTACGTCCGCGTGTTCTATGTTAACGCCCGCACCTAACAACGCTGTGATCGTATCCGTATGAGCGTTCCAAGCTGCTACTATTACTGCTGTTATGCCCTCATCAGCCGCGTGTTCTATATTAGCGCCTGCACCTAATAATGCTGTGACCGTATCCGTATGACCGTTAAAAGCTGCTAGTATTACTGCGGTCCAGCCCATCACGTCCGCGTGTTCTATGTTAGCGCCCGCACCTAATAACGCTGTGACCGTATCCGTATGACCGTACTCAGCTGCTGCTATTACTGCGGTGTAGCCATTTACGTCCGCGTGTTCTATGTTTGCGCCAGCACCTAACAACGCTGTGACCGTATCCGTATGACCGTTAAAAGCTGCTGTTATTATTGCGGTCCTGCCATACACGGTCGCGTGTTCTATGTTAGCGCCTGCATCTAACAACGCTGTGGCCGTATTCGTATGACCATTAAAAGCTGCTGCTATTACTGCGGTCCAGCCACCCACGTCCGCATGTTCTATATTAGCACCCGCACCTAAGAACGCTGTGAGCGTATCCGTAGGACCGTTCCAAGCTGCTACTACTGCTGTCCAGCCATCATCGGCCGCGTGTTCTATTTTAGCGCCCGCACCTAACAACGCTGTGACCGTATCCGTATGACCGTTAAAAGCTGCTGCTATTACTGCGGTGCTGCCCCTCCCGTCCGCGTGTTCTATGTTAGCGCCCGCATCTAACAACGCTGTGACCGTATCCGTACGACCGCTACCAGCTGCTGTTATTACTGCGGTCCTGCCATACACGGTCGCGTGTTCTATGTTAGCGCCTGCATCTAACAACGCTGTGACCGTATCGGTATGACCGTTAACAGCTGCTGCTATTACTGCGGTCCTGCCACTCCCGTCCGCGTGTTCTATCTTAGCGCCGGCACTTAATAACGATGTGACCGTATCCGTATGACCGTTAGCAGCTGCCCAGATTGTTGCGGTCTGTCGAGCTGCCCCTAGTAAGATGTAACCTGTGAGGGACGCTAGTAATCTGCCTATTCTCGTCGGTGGTCTCTCGGTCGTCTTCCTAACTGCAGTGGATTGATTGATGCCCATATTGCTGGTGATATATTGTGCTTTGATTCTATCCGCTTTTCGATACTTGAAATCTGAAGAAAAAAACATTTCATCTCTCGTAATTGGAAGAAGTTTCAAATTTGTTTTCTTCTCACACTGTACGCCAGCATGCGGCTGCGTTTGATTACGGAATGCACGTGTGAACACATTAACACCTAGTCATGACATACACTTGACAAATCTGAACTAAAACGATGATAATTATCCGTGTATTTATAAAAGGGTTTAATTTCAGAGATACGCAAATTTGATAGATGTGAATATTTAATGTTGGAAAAATATGCTTGTGATATTTTTTTTAAGGAAAATCGAAAATGCTGTTAGAACGATTGCAAAGCAGACATGATTTAATAATGTCCAACAATAATAGCAAACTTACTGTTTCTCTATTGTATTTCAGGCACGTGTAGCGGTAGCTGGCGACCCCTGGCGATGCATGTTGATCACTGTCCTGACACCTGAGAAAACAATACACCTGATGTGACAGTCAATCGTGTGAGACTGATGAACTAAAATCATATATATATATATATATATAAGTAATGTTGGTAGTGAGATGTTACGAAATACAGGGAATTTTAGGAGTACAGATTCCGGGAAATTTCCCAATTTTTTTCTTTAAATTTCTAAACTTTTNTATATATATATATATATATATATGTATATATATATAAATTTAGAAATAATATACAGGTACATACATAAAAATTTTAATCGAAAAAATTTACGATTGGATGCAGTAAATTAATATTTTGGTAAACATTAATCTTACGTGGGGCGCTTCTAGTGCGTCACTGCCGACGTCTCCTGAATCGTCTGCTGCCGTTTGGCGCTGTCTACAAATATAAAAAAATCACACAACTCAGCGTAGCTCCTTCTCTACTATCGATGCATAAAAACATCATTTATTTATATTCTCACATTCG